ATTTGAAGATGACACGGCCTGTCATACATCCATGCCTGTTATCCATGCATTAATATGATCAAGTATAAAAGATTAACTCCACATTTTGGGAAAGGTGCATATTTACTTTCTTTCCTAGAGTTACTGCTAGAAGGATGCTGATTACAACTTGGTTCACATTTTTTTATTTGGTCATGGTTACTTTTAACACCTCTGAAGATTGTATTGGATTAAGATGAAAATTAATTAATAAATTAAAATTGATTCAGTTTTACTTATATAGCACCAAATCACAACAACAGTTTCCACAAGGCACTTCATATGGTAAGGTAAAGACCCCAGAATAAAACTGATAAAACCCCACATAACAAACTGGTGTTTGTCATCTTGATTCATGCATAGATGAAGATGGGTGTCATCCTCATAGCAATGAAAATGCTATGCCTTCTAATGATACTGCCTAAGGGAAGGTTGTTATAAATAGAAATGGTCCTTGCTTGGAACCATGTGGAACTCCATAATTAACCTTAGTGTGTGACGTGTGCATGAGGGTTCCCAAATTACATGAACAAATTGGAGTCTACTAGATAGGACCTGCTGTGATTTTGACCCTGTATGGATATGTCCTGCCATGTCTCTTAAGTGCTCCCCTTTTTGGTTTTCTTTCTTATAAAGGTAATAGTGGCTTGTCCCTGTGTTTTAGTTTAATTAGTAATACAAATATTAATAAAATCATTTAATTTACTTTCTCACATGCCCTGGACTTTTTAGGGGAATGTAACAAACCAAAATAGAGCCATTTGTCTGTCAGTCTGCCCCAGGGCAGCTGTGGCTACAACTGTAGCTTGCCTCCACCAGTGTGTGAATGTGTGTGTGAATGGGTGGATGACTGGGTGTGTAAAGCACTTTGGGGTCCCTAGGCGGGACTAGTAAAAAGCGCTATACAAATACAGGCCATTTACCATTTACCATTTATCATTTGACAACCAGACCTAACAACCAGATGGAGTGCTACATCACTATTTTAACATGTACAATATACTTATTCACATGGATTGCTAATTGTTGGCTGTCTGTCTGCATTTGGAAATTAGATGGCAATACTTTGTAAAGCTTTTCAAAATCCGAGAGTGATTGCAGTCCATCTAAGGTTGAGTGTAACTGTTTGAAGACATGTTACCTGTGCAGTTGTCTTGTGATTGAAAGTTGTTGTCCAGTTGAGGGTATTGCAGACTTCATCTCGGAATGACAAGAAGTTGGTTGTCACAACTTCTTGCAATCAGAATCAGAATAATTAATCCCTTAATCCCTATGGAAATGATGTGGTTACAGTTGCTCCAAGACAATGTGAACAGTAACAGACTGAACTAAATTAAATAATACAATATATTAAAAAGGTACAAAATCATAAGAAAATAAGAAATAGCTCTAATATTTACAAATAGCTCAAATATAAATATCCAGAATATTAGATTAATTAATTGATTTTCTCTGCAAACTGTAAAACTTTGTTATTTTCACTGTAGAGGATGTGCAAAAAGGGTGAAACTATTGCATTGTGTACTGTGCATTAGATGGAGGAGTTGTACAGGCAGGAATCATTTTCTGTGTTGTCCAATGGTGCATTTGGATAATCTCAGTCACTCACTGAATGGTGACTGGCCAGCATGTCATGGAGAGGGTGGGAGGTTATTTCACGCAGGTTATTCCATCCACACAACATTACTGGCCTCGCCGATCATTTTTATTGAGTCTGTTGGCATCTGCCTGCTGCCCCAGCATGCAACAGCACAGAGGATGGCACTGGCCACAGCAGACTCATAGAAAATCCTGAGCACTGTCTGACAGATGTTAAAAGACCTCAGCCACCACACAAAATACAAATGACTCTGGCCCTTCCTGTAGAGTGTAGTGGTGTTATTTAACCCAGGCCAGTTTATTGTCTATGTGTACTCTGAGGTATTCATAGTCCTCCACAATGTCCACATCAATCCCCTGGATTGAAACAGGGGTTACTGTTTTTTTTTGGTCCTCCTAAAGTCCACAATCAATTATTTGGTCTTTTTCATGTTGAGCTGCAGATGATTCTGCTCACACTACATGACAAAGGAGTCCACCAGGACTCTGTCTTATCACCCTCACTTATGCATCAAACCACCACAGAGCCATCAGAAAGCTTCTACAGGGAGTGCAGAATTATTAGGCAAGTTGTATTTTTGAGGAATAATTTTATTATTGAACAACAACCATGTTCTCACTGAACCCAAAAAACTCATTAATATCAAAGCTGAATGTTTTTGGAAGTAGTTTTTAGTTTGTTTTTAGTTTTAGCTATTTTAGGGGGATATCTGTGTGTG